GATTCAGGGAAACCGGTTATTTTTATACAGGTGTCCCTCAGCATTCGCGAGGGTTAGGGGATCAAGAGCCTCGCGAATGTTGAAAAACCGTGAATGTTTGGTGCCCCAATATATTGTAGGGAAATATATTACAATACTGCTTCCTTAACTTGTTGAACCATGAATAATCATAAAATACATGAAAACGTCGTAAGTTGTACTAATTATATACATGTTATGCTTTAATAACGTATGTTATTTAATAACATGTATGTTAATAACATGTATGTTATTAAATACCACAGACTCCACCACTGCGAGTCCCTACTACCCTCCCTCCGACCCCCACAACTGGCAGCCAGCCCTCCCACCACTCAGTGTGGTGAGTATTTTGTTTGTTCATTATTTGCTATTAAACTACAGTATAAATAATGTAAACCCATTCATGACTGCATATTGGAATGGCTATTAGGAAAGGTATTAGAAGGTGACATCATGTGTTTACTCTTGAACACAGCAAAGAATCGAACATTTCTGCTATTGCTAATAATAACAATAGTAATAATAATAATAATAATAATAATAATAATAATAATAAATACGATATAATTGAAGAAGGAAATTGTACAAAAATACGAGGGAGTGGTTGACACATCGTCAGTGTGACTGTTTATGCTGGAGTGAACATTAGTCTCCCTGCTCTTCCAAACATTTCACAATAATTCAGCGGTTGAGGCAGTGGTATTTAATAACTTATGTTATAAATAATAATAGCACATGTTATTATTAATAACATGTATTATTATTAACATGTATTATTATTAACATGTATGTATTTAATAACATATGTTATATATAATAATAGTACATATTATTAATAACATGTATTATTATTAAGATGTATGTTATTAAATACCATTGCCTCAATCACTGCCTCTACCACTCCAGTCACACTCAATCTACAAGCACCAAACAGTGAATTATTGTGAAATGTTTGGAAGAGCAGGGAGACTAATATTCACTCCAGCATAAACAGTCACACTGACGATGTGTCAACCACTCCCTCGTATTTTTGTACAATTTCCTTCTTCAATTATATCATATTTATTATTATTATTATTATTATTATTATTATTATTATTATTATTACTATTGTTATTATTAGCTGTAGCAGAAATGTTTAATTCTTTGCAGTGTTCAAGAGTAAACACATGATGTCACCGTCTAATACCTGTCCGAATAGCCATTCCAATATGCAGTCATGAATGGGTTTACATTATTTATACTGTAGTTTAATAGCAAATAATGAACAAACAAAACACTCACCACACTGAGTGGTGGGAGGGCTGGCTGCCAGTTGCGGGGGTCGGAGGGAGGAAAGTAGGGACTCGCAGGTGGCGGGAAACTTAAATATGATTTGGCGGCTGGGAATTTGGTGGCTGGGAATTTGGCGGTTGGGAATTTGCGAATGTGTGAAGCCCGTGAAAGTTAAAAACGTGAATGTTGAGGGAGACCTGTATAGCCGGACTTGAGTCCTGGTAATGGGAAGTACAATGCCTGCACTTTAAAGGAGGGGTTTGGGATATTGGCAGTTTGGAGGGATATGTTGTGTATCTTTATACGTATATGCTTCTAAACTGTTGTATTCTGAACACCTCTGCAAAAGCAGTGATAATGTGTGAGTGTGGTGAAAGTGTTGAATGATGATGAAAGTATTTTCTTTTTGGGGATTTTCTTTCTTTTTTGGGTCACCCTGCCTCGGTGGGAGACGACCAACTTGTTGAAAAAAAAAAAAAAAATATTTATAAGAATCCTAGGTAGTAGGTTGGTACACAGCAACTGCCCAGGGAGGTACTACCGTCCTGCCAAGTGAGTGTAAAACGAAAGCCTGTAATTGTTTTACATGGTAGGATTGCTGGTGTCTTTTGTCTGTCTCATAAATATGCAAGATTTCGGGTATGTCTTGCTACTTCTACTTACACTTAGGTCACACTACACATACATGTACAAGCATATATATACACACCCCTCTGAGTTTTCTTCTATTTTCTTTCTAGTTCTTGTTCTTGTTTATTTCCTCTTATCTCCATGGGGAAGTGGAACAGAATTCTTCCTCCGTAAGCCATGCATGTTGTAAGAGGCAACTAAAATGCCGGGAGCAAGGAGCTAGTAACCCCTTCTGTATATGTTACTAAATGTAAAAGGAGAAACTTTCGTTTTTCCTTTTGGGCCACCCCACCTCGGTGGGATATGGCTGGTACGTTGAAAGAAGAAGTTTTATAAGAATAGGCAATATACAATTATTATAAGAATAGGTACCATAGATTTAATGGTAAGCCCCTGGTTATGCAGAGCATTATAGGCAGCTATATTTTTAAGTAGGAAAAATCATTTAATAAATACACTATACAGTGGACCCCCGCATAACGTTGGCATCGCATAGTGTTAAATCCGCATAGCGATACATTTTATCGCTAAAATTTTGCCTTGCATAGTGCTAAAAAATTTGCTCAACGCGATTCGTCCGAGACACGTCCATGCGGCCTGAGCCAGCCTCACTTGTTCTGCCAGTGGCATTGTTTACAAGCCAGCCTTCGCGGTAACATTCAAGCATACAATCGGAACATTTCGTATTATTACAGCCTTTTTATAGTGATTTCACCTGAAAAATAAGTGACCATGGGCCCCAAGAAAGCTTCTAGTGCCAACCCTACAGGAATAAGGTTGAGAATTACTATGGAGATGAAGAAAGAGTGGAGTGCGTGTCTCCGAGCTGGCCAGGTTGTATAGTAAACCCCAATCAACCATCGCTTCTATTGTGTCCAAGAAAACGGCAATCAAGGAAGCTGTTCTTGCCAAAGGTTTAACTGTGCTTTCGAAACAGAAATCGCAAGTGATAGAAGATGTTGAGAGACTGTTATTGGTGTGGATAAACGAAAAACAGATAGCAGGCGATAGCATCTCTCAAGCGATCATAAGTGAAAAGGCTAGGAAGTTGCACGAGGATTTAATTAGAGAAATGCCTGCAACTGGTGGTGATGCGAGTGAATTTAAGGCCAGAAAAGCTTGGTTTGAGAGATTTAAGAGGCATAGTGGCATACATAGTGTGATAAGGCATGGTGAGGCTGCCAGTTCGGACCAAAAAGCAGCTGAAAAATATGTGCAGGAATTCAAGGAGTACATAGACAGTGAAGGACTGAAACCCGAACAAGTGTTTAATTGTGACGAAACAGGCCTGTTTTGGAAGAAAATGCCAAGCAGGACCTACATTACTCAGGAGGAAAAGGCACTCCCAGGACATAAGCCTATGAAAGACAGGCTTACTCTTCTCATGTGTGCCAATGCTAGTGGTGATTGCAAAGTGAAGCCTTTATTAGTGTATCACTCTGAAACTCCCAGAGCATTCAGGCAAAAGAATATCCTCAAGGCTAATTTGTGTGTGCTGTGGAGGGCAAACAATAAGGCATGGGTCACTAGGGACTTTTTCTATGACTGGTTACACCAAGCATTTGCCCCCACTGTGAAAAATTACCTAACTGAAAAGAAATTAGACCTTAAGTGCCTCCTGGTGTTAGACAATGCCCCTGGTCATCCTACAGACTTGGCAGAGCGACTTTGTGGGGACATGAGCTTCATTAAGGTGAAGCTTTTGCCTCCTAATACCACTCCTCTCCTGCAGCCCATGGACCAGCAGGTTATTGCAAACTTCAAAAAACTGTACACAAAAGCTCTGTTTGAAAGGTGCTTTTAGTGACCTCAGAAACTCAATTGACTCTAAGAGAGTTTTGGAGAAAGCACTTTAATATCCTCAATTGTGTAAACCTGATAGGTAAGGCTTGGGAGGGAGTGACTAAGAGGACCTTGAACTCTGCTTGGAAGAAACTGTGGCCAGAATGTGTAGACCAAAGGGATTCTGAAGGATTTGAGGCTAACCCTGAGAATCCTATGCCAGTTGAGGAATCAGTTGTGGCATTGGGGAAGTCCTTGGGGTTGGAGGTTAGTGGGGAGGATGTGGAAGAGTTGGTGGAGGAGGACAATGAAGAACTAACCACTGATGAGCTGCTAGATCAACTTCAACAGCAAGAGGCCACACCTGAGGAAATTGCTTCGGAGGAGGGGAGAGAGAAATTGAAGAAGTTGCCTACTTCAAAGATTAAGGAAATCTGTGCAAAGTGACTTGAAGTGCAAACCTTCATGGATGAAAATCACCCTCAGACAGCTATTGCAAGCCGTGCTGGTGACTATTACACTGACACTGTTGTGAAACACTTTAGGAAAGTCATAAAGGAACGAGAGGTACAGGCCACTATGGACAGATATGTTGTGCGACAGAAGTCCAGTGACTCTGAAGCTGGTCCTGGTGGCATTAAAAGAAGAAGGGAAACAACCCCGGAAAAGGACTTGACACCTCAAGTCCTAATGGAAGGGGATTCCCCTTCTAAACACTAAAACCATCCAGTCTTCCCTCCTCCCATCCCATCAATCATCCCCAGATCTTCAATAAAGGTAAGTGTCATGTAACTGTGCATGTTTTCTTAAGTTTGTGTGTATTAAAATTAATATTTCATGTGGTAAATTTTTTTTTTTTTTTCATACTTTTGGGTGTCTTGCACGGATTAATTTGATTTCCATTATTTCTTATGGGGAAAATTAATTCGCATAACGATAATTTCGCGTAACATTGAGCTCTCAGGAACGGATTAATAGCGTTATGCTGGGGTCCACTGTATATTAAGATTTTTCAGATCATAGTACTACTGCAAATAATATTGGTATTAGTCTGCCCCTTTGAGAACATAAATTCCATATATTGTCAAGGTTCTTTAGCCAAGAATGTCACTGTTTGCATGTGCTCTCCCAACCAGTTACAGATTAAACACACTGATGCTTAACTAGACTTGCCTAAGTGACATGCACATCAGTTACGGCAGCATGCCAATAAAACAATACAATAAATTAAGCTAATTATATTTTTGGATAGAACTTACATGGTTTTTATTTTTATTTTTCATTTTTGACAGGTTTTGCCACAGCGTATACAAGAATGGAAGATGAGCGAGTGCGCAGCTGAAAACTTAGATATTCGCCAACTGGAGAAGATAAGACGACAGCAGCTGGAGGCAAGGGAGGTTCTTCAGCAGCTAGATCAACGACATCTGGTATTGTACTTTAAAAATTTTGGCAGATTTTAATTAGCAATGTTTTATGATCTGGGATACAAAACTATGTTGGTTGTTGAGAATAAAGTCAGCAGTGATTTTATTAGTAATGGAATTAGTTGTGCATTAAAACTTACTCATAAGAGACAAATGGCCTATCATTGTGTTAGATTGCATAGCCCTTGTGAATTTGAATAAATGGTGAATGTGTTTTCTTTGAGTCACCCTGCCTTGGCGGGAGATGGCTGCTTAGTTAAGAAAAAATGTGTGTATACACTGTGCATGTATGAGCATTTTTTAACACAGGCCATCTCCCATCAAGGTAGGGAGATGGCCTATGTTACGCAAAAAGAAGAAACACCCTCACCATCATTCATTCAATCGCCCTCTTGCCAGAATCATGCCAGCTTGGATAACCCTCCAAACTGTAGCATCCTCATCCCTCCTTCACAGGGAAGGCACTGCACTTCGCACCTCCAGGACTCGAGTCCATCTGGTGTTCCCGAGTCCCTTCGTGTTACCTTGCTCACACTACAACAGCATGTAAAATCATAAATACCACTTGCTCCCACTCACTCTTGTCTAGCATGCTCACACAAGACTGCTGGATGTTCAAGTCCCTGGTACTCAAAACCTCCCCTCCCCCTGTCTCTCAGATTCTTGGGATGGCTCCTACCCTTCCTTCCCTCCACCACAGATTTATATACCCTCTTTCTCACCCTGTTTTGATCCTTCCTCTATATATATATAGAGAGAGAGAGATCACCTCAACCCCTCCTCCACCTGTTGAGTAATACTAGACAACCAAGCTCATATATTGACAAATTACCACATAGAAGTATACATATCTACCAAAACCAGTATTACCCTTCACCAAATTGTAGCAGTATCATACTGTAAACTACTGAAAACTACAGAATCATGTTTCATAAAAAGCATTTTTGAATACATGACTATATCCTTTTGTTTGTGTAAAGTAGATTCACTTATTATTAATAGAACTACAGTACAACTATGATAATTTCTTTAGTGATAAGTAGTCAGTAAACCATTGAATTAAGTCAGCCCAAAATGCCAAGGCATAATAGAGGCTCTCTTTGCATTGCAACCCATCATTATAAAAATATAATCTCAATGTACTACTTGCAAAGAAATAAATGAATCTGAATCTGAGTATAGACTTGAGGGACAGAGGCTGCAGACATCATTCAGAGAAAAGGACCTGGGAGTAAGCAACGTGACTACTATGTCGTCCAAGGCTCACATCAACTGAATGACCAGTGTAGTCAATGCTTGCCTGACAAATATAAGTGTGATCTTCAGGAATCTCAATAAAGTTACTCCTGGTGCTTCATACAGCATATGCTAGATCCATCTTGGAGTATGCAGCACCTGCATGGAAGCCATACCTGAGGAAGCATGTTAAACTGGAGAAAGTGCAGAAATATGCAATGAGACTAGTTCCAGAGCTAAGGGGTATGAGCTACAAGGAAAGGCTTAAAAAATTGAATCTAATGACCTTGGAAAACAGAAGGACTAGGAGAGACATAACATACAAAATACTCAGAGGAATTGATAGGGCAGACAGGAAAAGGCTGTTTGAGAGGTGGGAGATGGATACTCTCAGGCACAGCTGGAAGCTAAAGACACATATGAATGACAGGAATGTCAGGAAGTATTTCTTTAGTCTCAGAGTGGTAAGGAAATGGAATGAATGACCTCAGTGAAGAAGTGGTGAAGGCATGCTCTATACATGGTTTTAAGAACAGGTATGATAAGGCCCACAAGGCTAAGAGAGAGCTAATCTTGCAAACAGCAAGATTCTTGTTGTTTGCGAATCTTTTAAGTGGCAGGATTCGTGTCATTTGCGAATCTTGCAGAGCCAGGAGCTGTCTCAGCCACTGCAACCACATATGAGTATGTACATGTACATACAAACATACAGTCATCCCTCTATACAGTGCAGTTTTTTGTAAATGAGGTTGAGAAAGTGCATGGAAAATTGAATAGCATGCACTCTGAACATCTTCCCATGCACTATACTTTTTCAGTTGCGTATGTGAAAAATTACACTATTGCGAGGCCTGGTCATGGACCGGGCTGCAGGGGTGTTCAATCCCTGGAACACCCTCCAGGTATATAGACGAGTTTTATAAGAAAGTCAACTGTTCATACTTTTTTTTTTTTTTTAACAAGTCGGCCGTCTCCCACCGAGGCAGGGTGACCCAAAAAGAAAGAAAATCCCCAAAAAGAAAATGCTTTCATCATCATTCAACACTTTCACCTCACTCACACATAATCACTGTTTTTGCAGAAGTGATCAGAATATACAATAGTTTAGAAGCATATACGTATAAAGATACACAACATATCCTTCCAAACTACCAGTATCCCAAACCCCTCCTTGTATACATACATATATACATACACTGCATACATACTGATGTGGTAATATTCATATTGTTGCAGGAAATAGATAGACTAGTTGAGCGTGGAAAAACAGCCGAGATAGATCCTAATGCAGAAGATGGTGTGGAGGACGAGGGTGGAGACAGTGTGTACATTTACTGTGTGACGTGTGGCCATGAAGTACAAGCGAGACGAGCAATAAGACACATGGAAAATTGCTTTAACAAGGCGAGTCGAAATAAATGTATTTTTAAGTACTGTATTATACCATATTAGATACATTATTTAATAATTGACCCTGCTTCAAGTGGGGGGGGGGAATTAGTGTACAGCATGTTTGGTATGTTAATTAGCAGTGAGGCATCTGGGGAATTCTCTTGGGCTGTAGGCTTGACAAGACTGTCTCTGTCATTCATGATCCCAGCTTCCATCAAGTGGGTGTGGGTCTAGTCTTCCTTGGCCCCTGGGGGCCTGCCATCTACCTTGGCCCCTGGGGGCCTGCCATCTACCTTGGCCCCTGGGGGCCTGCCATCTACCTTGGCCCCTGGGGGCCTGCCAGCTACCTTGGCTCCTGGAGGCCCCCAGCTACCTTGGCTGCTGGGGGCCCCCAGCTACCTTGGCCCCTGGGGGCCTGCCATCTACCTTGGCCCCTGGGGGCCTGCCAGCTACCTTGGCTGCTGGAGGCCCCCAGCTACCTTGGCTGCTGGGGGCCCCCAGCTACCTTGGCCCCTGGGGCCTCAGCTACTATTGCCTATAGACTAGTGCCTGATACAAGTCTTCTTGACTTACTGATCTCTTGTTTGCTTTCTTTTTGGCTGACATTGAAGCTAGCAGCTCCATTGATCAAGCTATTGACAAGCTGGTACCTGAAGTATATATGAAAGATGTTTTTGTGGGTCAAATCCCATGACCCAGTCCAGCACCAGGCTGCCTTGTATATCAAGGTCTGATCAACTAGATTATTACAAGTGGCTTGTTTGATGTCACATTCTGCTGTGCTTGATGGCCAGTCTTCCTCATCTAGTGCTTGGAGGTAGTAAGTACCTTGGTGCTTTCAGCCTAATGCCTGGCTCCCACAACTGAGAGCCCCATCCTGCCTCCCATTTTACAGTTCCCGAGTCAGCAGGGGCTTCTCTCTCTCTGGTAACCATTCTGGCCTTCCTTGTTCTGGGAATGGGAGTTATTGCCTCCCATGGGTAGCTGGTTAGCTTTTGTACCAGTCAACATAAAAATTCTTGGGCCATGCTCTTGATCTTTTGTTACTCAGAAAGGATTCCGGTTATTCTTCTGGAGGAAACCCCCCCTCCCTGATCAGTAAGGCTGTTGGTGCCAGCAGCACATGGTTCAAAGTAGGTGCCACAGCTTGACTAAACAGGAACTGACTTAATTGAATTTAACAAGTTTCCATACACAAATAACCCGCACAGTCATGGTATTGTGCCTTTTTTTGTTATTTAACAAGTTTCCTATTGAAGACAGGGGTCTGTTGGTAATTTGCCTTGTATATGAAGGATGTTGAAAAGCTTGGTAGACAGCAACTGCCCAGGGAGGTACTACCATCCTGCCAAGTGAGTGTAAAACGAAAGCCTGTAATTGTTTTACATGATGGTAGGATTGCTGGTGTTTTTTTTTCTCTCTCATAAACATGCAAGATTTTAGGTATGTCTTGCTACTTCTACTTACATTAAGGTTACTACACATACATTTACAAGCATATATATACAGACCCTTCTGGGTTTTTTCTATTTTTCCTGCTTGTTCTTGTTTATTTGCAATCTCCATGGGAAAGTGGAACAGAATTCTTCCTCCGTAAGCCATGTGTGTCGTAAGAGTCGACTAAATGCCGGGAGCAAGGGGCTAGTAACCTCTTCTCCTGTATATATTGCTAAATGTAAAAGGAGAAACTATTGTTTTTCTTTTTGGGCCATCCCACCTCAGTGGGATACAGCCAGTGTGTTGAAAGAAAGAAGGAATATTTATCTACATAGACGACGTTCTGCTGACTAGCTTGATCTCCAGGCCCTGCATTTGGAGCTTCTGGTGGCAGTCTTCCACATTAACCTCGTGAATTTATCTCTCATTCATTTTCACTCCCTGCAGTGGATGGAAGAGTGGTTTTCTCTTAACCATTCTCCATCAGATCTGGAAGTTCTTCCTCAGCTAAGAACTTTCAGACATGCAGTGGAGCCAATCGCAGGGAAATATCTTCACTAAGGTAGATGCTTTAGTGGTGACTGGTGCCTGTCAGCATTCAGTTAGGCTCTTATGACCTTTTCCCCCTTCCTTTGCATTGTTCAGTGTGTCATCTCTGATTGCAGGACTTTGGCACCCTCATAAAGTCCAGTTTCCTGTGCTCTGGAGGGGTCTTTTGCATCCCTAGTAATTGTTCACTGGGGACATCAATGGAGCTCAACCTGGGGGTTCATTAATACAATTACACAGCTCTTACTGCTTCAGTCCCCTCACTTTTGGGGACTCCTGTCATTGGTGGATTATGTGTGTGTTATGTTGGCATTTTGTCACTATGCTTGGGGCTTTCTTCCTGGTGTTCTGATATTTAATGTATATGTAGTTGCAAAACTGGTGCTGCTCCATGGCCTTCTTGGCCAACTTCCTGGTGTGGCCTTTGCTCAGGTCCCTGGTAAGAGAATCTTTTTCAGGTACCAAGCTTGTGTATTTGTCAGCAATGCAATTAAATAGCCCTTCTCTTTGGCTAGTTTACTGTCTGCATGACCAACTCCTGGAATTCACCATAGGTCAACAGCAGCCTCTTCTGTTATATATTATAGTTGGAAGGCACATTTCTCCACTATGAGCTCAGGAGATCCATGGATTCCTCCAACTAACCAGCTATGCTCCAAATTGCCAGCTGGAGTTTTGGGCTTAGGTCAGTTCCCAGCTAACATCGATCATAACTAGCACTCTATCTTTGTGAGTGGTGGTAAATAGTCCTATACTAAGCATAATATATGGGATGGACCCTGCTGGGGTTTGAGAGGCAAGTATTGGTGTGAATAAGGAATGTGACGATTCAAGTGGGGATCCTTGGAGGAATTGGCACACAATGCACCTGTCAACAAAATGGTTTTATGATGGTTAGGGGATGCTGTATTATGATGTAGGTGTATATGCATTCTTGCAATACTTTTTGTTTAGCAAAAAAGCTTTGTAACTTGTAGAATGCTTAATTGTTAAAGAAAAATGCTTGAAGTATGGATTTTGGTGAAGGTTGTTAGTTTTTAAGAAGGGAGCAAATTAAATTTTTTCTTTCATTGACAGTAGTTGTCAGGAATGTGCATACAAAATAAGTTAGACTAAAGGTATGTACGTATTGTATTTAATGTTGTTTGAAAAAGTAATTGCTTTGCCTTTCCATTTTAGGCTTAATATAGAAATAAGCTGCACATTTTTTAACTAGATACCTGTAATGTCATACATTTTCTAAAAGTTGTAAAAAGTTCAACATTTTATTTTTATTCAGTTGTTTAACCAGTTGTATATACTGTGCATATTTTTAAATTGTTTCATCTGCTTTTCTTTCCAACAACAAATCTTACCTTGACTATAAATTAAGTGTAAAAATTTTAGTTTTGAATTCATAATTATAGCTGGAGAGTCAAACAACCTTTGGATCTATGTACAAGACAAGAATAGAGGGTAACAACATGTTCTGTGACTTCTACAACCCCAGTAGCCTCACTTACTGCAAGAGACTTCGAGTTATGTGTCCAGAGCACACCAAAGCACCAACAGTGTATGACTCTGAGGTGAGTTAAAGCATGCTTATAACATTTTTGCTTGACTTGTTTATGCAGATTAGAAGTACATGGATAATTTTGGCATAACACGAAGTTTAATACACTTGGTACATTTATAAAAGTGATTTTTGCCTGTACAGTGTATGATGCCATGAATAATATCTTTTATGTTTGACCCATGTTAAATTAAGTTAAATAATAGTTAAATAAATAGACGGCCGACTTGTTGAAAAAAAAAAAATATGAGCATGCCATTGAAATATTCACAACTAACCCAGAATTTGGAGAGTAAACTGTTGTGCTTTAATAATGGTTCAAGATGGGCCAAAATGTCATCTTCAGGTTTCCTCTCTAAATTGTGAATTGTTCTAGTGACAGTATTGTAACTTACATTCTCAGTAGCAATATTTAAATCAACTACTGTAATAGTTTGCAGTTACTGTACAAGCAGTTAAAAAAGTAAATTTTTCCACAGGTACCCTTGAGACTTTTGAAGGATTTATTTTTGTTTTTTTCTAAAGCTGTGGCATGAATACAGCTGAGCTGCTCCTTGTTTGTAATTCTCATTGTAATCTCTCTAACTTCAAAGTTAAATATTTCAGGCTCAGTAGTATCTCATATCAGTACTTGTAAAATTATGTATTCTAAGATGCATAATAAAAGTACACCTAGCATCCGACTTACGACCTGCTCGACTTATGACCACTCAACTTACAACCGTGTTTTTTATGCCAAATTTCTGGGAAATAAACAATTATTTGTGTTGTACATAGTGTTTATCCTAAACCTTAGTGTAAAATACAGTACTACTAACAACATAAAAAGTAAAGTAAAACATGAAATACCAAAATAAAACAATAAAATAGTCATTACAAAAATGTTTTGTTGATATTCAGTAGTAAAGTTCGACTTACGACCATTTCGACTTACGACCGGTTTCTCGGAACCGAACTCGGTCGTAAGTTGGATGGTAGGTGTATTATAGCATCCCATGTGATAAGTGGAGACAAGGCTCCCTCATCACTTTTAGCTTTCATTTAGAAACTAAACTTAACCAGTCAACAGTTTTTTTTTTTTTTTTATATTAATGGTGTAAAATTCAGTAGTCTTAACCCCTTTCAGGGTCGAGAGGCCCTCTCCAAAACTTGTTCTCAGGGTCGAAAATTTTTCGGAAAAAAAAAAATAATTTTTCTTATGAAAAGATAGAGAATCTTTTCCCGATCATAATGACACCAAAAGTATGAAATTTGATGGAAAACTTACAGAATTTTGCTCTCTGGAAGTTAGCAGTCTCGACAGTGTTTGCGCATCGGTGATTTTTGCCCGCTTTGAGCCCCATTTTTGGCCAATTCCAGTGTACTAGTAGACAAAAATCATGATTATTTCGCTAGAACTCAATTTTTTCTATCAAATGAGTACACGAAACCACCCATTTAGCTATTTCAACTATCCAATAAAGTGGCCAGAAATTAGCAATTTTGCCAGTTTCACACAAATTTCAAAAGATGCCAATTTCCAAATAGGGTCCAAAATAAACAAGAAAGACATTCCTGGCACTAAAATAACATTTCCTCTGTTCATTAGTCATGTCCCCAGGCCTCTCTTACATTTCTTTTGCTTTCCACTTTGAATTTTTATTCTCAAAAAAAAAAAATAGAAGATTTACTGTTATGCAGACTACTGCATTAGTGTAGAAATGGTATAAATAATATCAGCGCACTTTTGAAAGAATATTAGACTCGCCAATTGATGTGTATTGGATGCGTGGCATGATTTGTTTACTTTTGAACTTTGGCAAAAATCGAACATTTCTGCTACTTTGAGCTCAATTTCAAGGTATTTTTCATTGTGAAAATTGCCTCAATTTCTGTAATATGTCTTCCATTCTATAAAATGAGACCAGGAAAACTAGAATACAACCATAAATACCATACGAAAATACAGTGCAAAGTTGATGTTTTAACCCGTAAATGGTCCAAGCAGATCTACGTTCACATGTGTAGTGCTACAAAAGTAGATCCAAGTTTTTTTTTACACATTTTCAAATGTAAAAAAACAAAAAGATGATCTACTTTTTTTACATACTTTCAAATGTTGAAAAAACGTATATATACGTTTGGACCGTTTACGGGTTAACCCTTTCAGGGTCCAAGGCCAAGAAATTTTGAAAAAAAAAAAAAAAAATTACAGAATTAAAGAGTATATTTTTTGTGAAGGTAATAAATAAAAAAAAAATTCTGATCAGTACTTACCGAGATACAGTGCCGAGAAGTTGACCCAAAATGACCAGGTAGCGGCAACATCGACGATTTCCACATACGCGCATTACTTTATTTTACGTTTTTTATGTTTTTTTTCTTTTCTTTTCTAATGTTTTTCTTTTCCTACTAACATTTGGGGCCTGAGAGACCAATACTGTATATAATGTTTGGAGGGATATGTTGTGTATATATGTGCTTCTAAGCTGTTGTATTCTGAGCACCTCTGCAAAAACAGTGATAATGTGTGAGTGTGGTGAAAGTGTTGAATGATGATGAAAGTATTTTCATTTTGGGGATTTTCTTTCTTTTTTGGGTCACCCTGCCTTGGTGGGAGACGGCCGACTTGTTGAAAAAAAAAAATATATAAACTCACTGTATTGAAGACAGTAACCGCACCAAAGTTATTATCATATTGTTTACCACTTTTGTTTATTACAATAAACATGCACAAATCTTGTATAATACTAATGTTCTATCATATATTTACAATCACTGGACATGTTTTTAGAACTGCTGGAGCTTGTGGAACTCCTTGAAACAAGGCACCATGCACAGAGGTACCTTACATTCCTCGCACATAAACCGAGTGTCTTTGCGTCTTTGTTGCCGTCATTTTGTTTGTGCACAGACAATGCATCTCTTCTGATTAAATTTCTTCTTAGTTGCAGGAAGCTGTATTATGAAGTGATCACCTTCCCTCCTCAAATGCTTGGGTATATCCTGAGGAGTTCAAAGACGGTTTTGTATAGCAGGTGTTGTTACCTGGTATTTCATTCAGAGTTGTCTGACAACAGACAAACAAAATTCACCATACGGTGGTCTGTTGCCAGTCTTCACTTGGTACATATTATATGCATTGAGCATTGAAATGTCCATGAGATGGAAGAAAAGTTTCATGTACCACTTGTAACTCTTACGAACACAATCAACAAAGCCAATCTGCATGTCACATTTGTCAACCAAGCTCATGTTTAGTGTATAATCAATCACTGTCACTGGTTTTCGAATATGTTCATTAGTCATTCTATTAACTTTGCCACTGTCTTGCACTTCGTTACGGTGAATGGTTGTCAACAATGTGACATCTGGTTTGTCATGCCACCGTAATGCCATGATGTCATCAGCAGTAAACACCTGCACCTCATCACCACAAGCACCTGCGATGAACCTAGGCATGTATTTACGATTAGAATGCACCGTGCCACACACATCTGTCTTGTTCACTCGCAAGAAATCACTGAGTAAAGGGCTTGTGTCCCAGTTATCGTTATATAATGTATGCCTGTTACCAAGATAAGGTGCCATCATGCTTCTCACTACATCACCTGAGATACCCAATAACATCCTGGTATCTTTCAGTGTTTTATTTCCCGTGTATACAACAATATCCAATACCAGGCCACTGTCACAGTCACAGAGTACAAACAGTTTTATACCAGAGCGTTTCCTCTTGCTCGGTATATACTGTTTGAATCACGGTCTCCCCTTTGAACAAAATCAAAGATTCATCAAGTACAAGATTCTTGAATGGATAAAAGTACATGTTGAACTTTTCTTTCAGATACATAAAAACATTTCTAATCTTGTATAACCTGTCACTTCTGTCAGACCTGGTTTTGTCAGAGAAGTGCAACATGCGTAACAGTAAGATAAACCTGTTCGCTGGGATGATTTCACTGAAGACCGGGGTAGAAATTAGCCGATCTGTGGACCAGTATGCTTTTATATTATGCTTATAGACATGAGGCATAAGCATTATTGTTGCAAAAAGCAAATACATTTCTGCAACAGTCGTCTCTTTCCACCGGTGTAATCTTGTCTGTGGTGATATTGTATTTCCCATTTTTTTTTTTTTTTTTTCAACAAGTCGGCCATCTCCCACCGAGGCAGGGTGACCCAAAAAAGAAAGAAAATCCCCAAAAAGAAAATACTTTCATCATCATTCAACACTTTCACCACACTCACACATTATCACTGTTTTTGCAGAGGTGCTCAGAATACAACAGTTTAGAAGCATATACGTATAAAGATACACAACATATCCCTCCAAACTGCCAATATCCCAAACCTCTCCTTTAAAGTGCAGGCATTGTACTTTCCTCTGACTAATGCTTTTATTAACTCCACACCTTCTCTTAATTTCCACACTCCGAATTTTCTGCATAATATTTACACCACACATTGCCCTTAGACAGGACATCTCCACTGCCTCCAACCATCTCCTCGCTGCTGCATTTACCACCCAACCTTCACATCCATATAAGAGTGTTGGTACTACTATACTTTCATACATTCCCTTCTTTGCCTCCATAGATAACGTTTTTTGACTCCACATATACCTCAACGCACCACTCACCTTTTTTCCCCTCATCAATTCTATGATTAACCTCATCCTTCATAAATCCATCCACCAACACATTAACTCCCAAGTATCTGAAAACATTCACTTCTTCCATACTCCTCCTCCCCAATTTGATATTCAATTTTCTTTATCTAAATCATTTGATACCCTCATCACCTTACTCTTTTCTATGTTCACTTTCAACTTTCTACCTTTACACACATTCTCAAACTCATCCACTAACCTTTGCATTTTTCTTTAGAATCTCCCATAAGCACAGTATCATCAGCAAAAAGTAACTGTGTCAATTCCATTTTGAATTTGATTCCCCATAATTTAACCCCACCCTCTCCCGAACACCCTAGCATTTACTTCTTTTACAACCCCATCTATAAATATATTAAACAACCATGGTGACATTACACATCCCTGTCTAAGACCTACTTTTACCGGGATGTATTTTCCCTCTTTCTACACACCCTAACCTGAGCCTCACTATCCTCATAAAAACTCTTAACAGCATTTAGTAACTTACCACCTATTCCATATACTTGCAACATCTGCCACATTGCTCCCCTATCCACTCTATCATATGCCTTTTCTAAATCCATAAATGCAATAAAAACTTCCCTACCTTTATCTAAATACTGTTCACATATATGCTTCAATGTAAACACTTGATCTACACATCCCCTACCCACTCTGAAGCCTCCCTGCTCATCCGCAATCCTACATTCTGTCTTGCCTCTAATTCTTTCAATTATAACCCTACCGTATACTTTTCATGGTATACTCAGTAAACTTATTCCTCTATAATTTTTACAATCTCTTTTGTCCCCTTTCCCTTTATATAAAGGGACTATACATGCTCTCCGCCAATCCCTAGGTACCTTCCCCTCTTTCATACATTTATTAAACAAAAATACCAACCACTCCAACACTATATCCCCCCCTGCTTTTAACATTTCTGTCATGATCCCATCAGTTCCAGCTGCTTTACCCCCTTTCATTCTACGTAATGCCTCACGTACCTCCACCACACTTACATTCTGCTCTTCTTCACTCCTAAAAGATGGTATTTCCCATGGTGTACTCAAAATACTTGTTACTCTCCCTGACAATAGTTTCCATCAATGGCTGGTCAAAGAATAGTTCAAAAACTTCCAGTTCATTGGCAGTGGTTCCAAGGGGACAAGTAGATAGAATTGTACTTTGAGAGTCATCAAAGTGGTGGGGCTTGGGAACAAAATTGGGATTTTGCTGCCAATCCCAGATACAGTTTGCTGGTGGATACTGGACATCCTAGACTGGTTGTGCTGGTAGATGTGGTTGTGGTGGGCTGGTGGCTGACGCTCCGCTTTGTCCTTGAACTGAGGAGTCGGCAGCATGGGTCCCAGCCTGGGCTGGTGAGTCATGCATGGCTGTGGCACTACCGTCACCACTACCACCACCTATTGATGCCTGTGGTCTATCCATGCCAAGTGTAGCCACATCATCCTCACTTTCACTGTCTATTCCTGGTGTAGGGCCATGGGATATATTCCGGGATGTACTCTGTCCCCTGGGCACTGCATAGGGAACACTGCCCGAGCGCATGCGGCGGCGTATATACCGACGCTTCACTGGTGAATGTTTCCTCACTATCACTATTCGAATGATTGTCAAGAGCAATAAAATCACAATCCATGTCACTATCATCATCATTACTGAAGTCAGAGGCCTGGCCACGCGAAAATAATAGTTTTGTCTTGCGATGCGGTACAATTGACCGTGACTGAGGAGTGCCCACATCAGAGGTAGAAGGCTGAGGATTGTCAGGGTTTTCTGCACTATTATCGATATCCTGGTCATTCCTTTTGGTCACTAACTGATCAAAGCCAAAGAATTCGTCTTCATTTCCACTTCCATCAGAGTCAGAACTATCACATAGGAAGAGGAGAGTCCCAATTTTCCTTGGAGTGAGAGCTGCCTTGCGATGAGGCATGGTGAACAAGGGTAACTGAGCTGGTGTTCCCACAATGCTATGTGGGCACCTAGATTTTTTGTTTACACCTCACACACCACGCAGACCTGTTCTCTCACATGTAGGCCTACCAGCGTTTTCGCGCTAAATTTGACGCCGCTAGAATTTTGGTGTAGATCTACGGTTTGGACCCTGAACGTAAAGCCGTAGATCTACAGCACAGACCCTGAAAGGGTTAAACCAAAAAGACGGTCATAGTTTTTTTTTTTTCTCATTACACACTGTGTGCTGCAGGATTTCTTTTATACTGCGCACACTGACCACATAAGAAAGGAGGAACACTGCAGCAGGCCTGTTGGCCCATACTAGACCCATTCTTTCGTATGTAGACTTACCAGCTTTCTCTTGCTAGATTTGAGGGCACTAGAATTTAGGCGTACTAGTACGTCAATAATCCTGGTGCGTAAGCCGTACTAGTACATCAGAAACCCTGAGAGGGTTAATGGTGCAGTAATTTAGTGATATCTTACATAAATTTTAAGTTGTATGACTATTTAAAAAATGTTGCATGCATTGTGAAATTCATTCATTCAATAGCTGTCTTGTCAGAAGTACCCAGGCATCACAGTTTCATTGACTGCTTGAACTGTACCATCCCCACCCCTTGTTCAGAGTGAATGTACTGTACTTCCCACTTCCAGCACTAGTCTGCATACCCTGTTTCTCTAAATACATTCATAAATGTTACCATGCTTGCACTTTAGCACATCAAGTCATAAACACCACTTTTCTCTACTCTTATTTAACACTTACTTTGTCTGCTGGATGCTGAATGCCTTGATATTCGAAACTTCTATTATTCCCTCTCTCTAACCATTCATGGAACAACTACCATTTCTTCGTTACACCAAACAGTAATACACCCTCTTGATCTTATCATCCTCAAAATACTCAAATCATCTAAACACCCCCTAAAGGATACCTGAAGGATGTTTCTAGGGGATCAGTGCCCCAGTGGCCCAATCTCAGACCAGGACTCCTGGAGGGTCAAGGCCTGATTGACCAAGCTGTTATTGCTGGCTGCACACAGACTAACATATGTACCACAACCCATCTGCACAGGACTGATTTGAGGAGTTTTCCCTGTTTTCTCTTGAAGACCACCAGAGGTCTAATAATCTTAGTACTCTGAATTCCTTGCATAGTATTCACACTACATGTTGCTCTCAATCTTGACATTCCACAGCCTCTAACTGCCTCCTCACTGCAAGATTTAAAGCCCATGCCTTGCATTCATTTAAAAGTGTTGGCCTCCTCAAGGGGGGCTCCTTAGTGCAGTGAAGAGGCTCTTGGTTCGAGGAATTAGACCCTTTGGTTTCCTTTCGCAGACTGAACCTAATTACCCCCACAATCCTCCCTTCCCTATCCCATCCTCCCTTTCCCTTTCCTCCTCCTCTCCCCATCCCTCCCCTATCCCCTTCCTGTTTTCACCCTTTGGGATTTTTCCCACAGGCACTCTAGTTCCTAGGTAGAGGGAAGGGTACTGTTGAGGTCCGTGGTGGTGTAGTAGTTTGCCGTGGAATCTGGATCACCTGGGTGTGTCTCACTCCCTCTGTGGTCTCACGGGGGGTGGCTTTGGGTGTCTTTCAGGTGACAGGTGTATCTCTGGAAGCTGCCTTTTGGATTCTTGGGGGTGGTGACCAAAGGAGGTACGCTTTGTGGCGGGTATCCGGCCGCCCTCTGTTCTGTCCACCAAGGTGGCTCGGTAGATGTGAGGGTGCTATTCCAGATTACTGGTTTACTGGCATGAAGGGTAGGGTATGGCATGGGTTTCATGCCACATTTGCACAACTTGCGGTGCTGGGGTCCTCTTGGTGCGGAGGGGAATTTACGGCCTTTTTATTCCTCCTAGGAGCTATCCTCCCACATTCTTCCCCCTTTTTTTATTATATTTTTCTTTTCATTTTCTGGAAAACAAACAAAAAGAAAGAAGTGACATAACCATGGAGTCCCAGATCTGTGAAACCACTCTCCCCGGGCCCCTTTCTGCTACTGCTCCTTGTCCTGCCTCATTATTTGACCGCTTTATGGACTTTTCTAATTCCCCTGTTCCTCTTTTTATAACCTGCCTTCTTCAGACTCTTCCAAAAGAAGTGTCACTGGCAAAGAACAATTGTAGTAATTTCTGTTTTGTACCAGTCATTATCTTTTAGTAATATATACTAATTATTATTTTTAGGTGTGTGGAGCTCCAGTGACTTCCAATGTGTTCAATGAGACTGGAGAGATATGTCTTGCATCAAAAAAGAAATGTCTTCGCCACTATTGCTGGGAAAAACTACGACGGGCAGAAATAGACATGGAAAGAGTTAGACAGGTAACATATTTGTTGCTGTATGTTGATAATACTTCTTTATAGAGAATATCTTTATTTTACCTTATAAAAATACAATGGACCCTCGGTTATTGGCCGTAATCCATTCCAGACGGTCAGCCTAAATCCGAAAAGGCCGAAAACCGAAATAATATTTCCCATAAGAATTAATGTAAATTCATTTAATCCGTTTCAGACACCCAAAAATATTAAAAAAAAAAAAATGCATTTTTGAAGATTAACTATAGTTTTACATACAGAAAACAATGAGAAATAAATATAAAGGACAAATTTTAATGATAAATGAACATTACATACTTTTATTGAAGACTCTTGTTGGCGTATTGAAGAAGGCAGGAGGGGAGAGGGAGTTGGGAATCCCCAACTCCCTCTCCCCTCTGTGTAGTGTAGCCCCCTGGGCTACACTACACAGTCATATTATTACACTACACAGCCATATTATTACCATGTTCACCAAGTTTAATTGTTTCTAACAACTACCTTTAGATGCCATCATAAACAAAGGGAGAAGTAATGAATAATTCATGCCGAGAATTGTAAGCAAACACATATGAAGGGCGGTTACTGGGCGAGACTCCAGATTCACAGTTTTCTCTAACACTGAATCAGAGAAAACGTAATGTCTACTCTCCACCTGACACTCTACTCAATAGCATGTGCTGTGTAATGTGTTTCTTATATAATTTTGAAGAAAATATCATAGTTGGATTAATGAAAATGTCTGTATTACCCTGAAATAAGACAATATGCTCAAGAGTGATTATTATTAAACATACATCGCATATAAACATTGCATGTTTTTATATAGTACCATGTAACGTGTTTCTTATATAATTTTGAAGAAAATATCATAGATGGATTAATGAAAATGTCTATATTAACCTAAAATAAGACATTTAATGTGTTCAAGAGTGATTTATTACTTGTCCAATATGGCCGATCTCCAAAATAACGGCCGATAACCGGGATGGAATTTCAGCCGAAAAAGCAAGCCAAAACCGAAATGGCCGATACCCGGAATGGTCGATAACCGAGGGTCCACTGTAATATGTAAAAGTACTTCATATAATAAGGCAATTTTTTTTTTCCAATGAACTGGCCATATCCCACCGAGGCAGGGTGACATAAAAAGAAAAACTTGCATTTTTCTTTTTAAATTTAGTAATTTATACAGAAGGAGCTATTAGTCTCATAATAAGGCAAAATATATTTTTAAAAATCATACAGCACTGCAATAAGTAATGTATATAAATGCTAGATTTATTTTTTTCAACTCTTTGGCCGTCTCCCACCAAGGCAGGGTGACCCAAAAAAGAAATAAACACTTTTACCATCATTCACACATAATCACTGTCTTTGCAGAGGTGCTCTGATACAACAGTTTAGATGTCACTCCCAACAGCCAGTACCCTAAATCCCTCTTTCAAAGTGCAGACATTGTGCTTCCCATCTCCAGGACTTGAGCCCTGATAAGTACACGTGTATTACCTACAGGTTTCCCCTCACTTTGTGAGTTTGCTTTTATGCAGTCAACCCATTTCTACCAGTAATCTGCTATGTGTTATAAATCCACTCTTATGAGAACCCAAGCCCAGTACCATTTGAAGTTTTATTTATATCTCCTTGCATATAGCTAAACTGATTGGTGCTGACATATATGAAGACGAAATAAAGAAAACACATTTGGTACAGGAAATTTAAGGAGCATATTTTAAATGAAATCTTATGATTGGTTTTCAATTTAAGTGTCTGCACAAAAAGAAAATGGACACCACTCAGAGGAAATTGTGTTGTCAACACAGTCAACTAGTGGTGGAGGGAGGAAGGGAAGAAATAGTAGTAGAGGAAATATATATTCATTGGCTTATATCTTGTGCACTTTATTCCAAAGACAGTCTGGTTGGCTGGATGATGGAGGGATGAAGGAACTTAGCTGGGAGGCAGATTATTGTTGATTTTTTTTATTTAAAAATAAACTAGTTGCATTTTTTTGGCATATGGCTGATTAATGTCTGTCTGGTATATGTACTCATATTTTTTTAAAGTAAATAAATGAGGTAACAGGTTCTGAAAATTCATTGTAAGTCCTTTGTTCCATACTCAGAACCTAGTTTCACAGAAATTCATGTTATACTGGATTAATGCAGTCCTGACTTAAAATAGTTAGCATATTGTTTCAATATCTAGATTGATGGAGGGCATACAAATTTGTAGTGGAGGGAAAGCCGGGTAGGAGTCACCTTAGGAATGGTTGAAAGGAGGAGGAGGTAAAGGAGGTTTTGTGTGCAACAGGCTTAGTGTGACTTGCAAAATCATAACAACACCAGTTTTAACTCACCTGGCAGGCAAGTTAAAATGCACAGGCAAGTCCATTAACCACTCAATCAGCTGATCTAATAAGATTAATCCCACTAGGCATATTTCTATACACCATAGGGCAGAGCCAGCCTTAGGAGGTGTGGGGCCCAATTGGGAACAATTGTGGTAGGCCCCATTTATGGAAAGCAATTGAACTGTGCACTTAAAAAATGCATGAGTTAATAAACCAAACATTTTAATATAAAACTGCATACATGTAAGCCTACTAGTAACAAACAAAATTTGTATATCACCTCTGAAAAGTACATAGTCACAATACCACTTGCTTTAGTGACTGTGAAATGATCTATTAAAAATATTAATTTATTTTTGTTCAGAATAAAAAAATCAGAATTTAAATGCACTGTTGGAAACAAATTACAATAAAACCTCAGTTTTCGTATGCCCTGGTTTTCGTAGGATTTGGTTTTAGACGACATTTTTCGTCGACATTTTGTCCCAGTTTTCATACATCTGCTCAGTTTTTGTAGAGTTGACAACGGTCTGCCATACCAAACGAGTTCGCCTGCCTGCACCCACACAAAGCATCCCATGCGTTCTGACTCAGTCTACCTTTGTTTCTCGTCGAGTGAGCATTACCCCGCACATTTATCCGAAACATTTCATAATAATCCATTGTTTTTTGTGCTTGTTTATTGAGTGCGACTGCTAAATAAGCCACCATGGGGCCAGAGAAAGTTCTGAGTGCCAGGCCTTTGATAAAGAAGGCGAGAAACACGATAGAATTCAAGAAAGAACTCTTAGCAAAGTATGAAAGTGGCTTACGCATGGCTCATCTTGCCAGTAAAAGACAAAGAAGGGAAGTACAGGAACCCCAGATAGGGCCTTGATACTTGAAGTCCTTATGGAGGGGGATTCCCCTTCCAAACAGTAACCTCTCCTCCTACCTCTCCCCTCTTCGCTGCCTTCCATACGCCAACAAGTCTTCAGTAAAGGTAAAAGTGATGTTAAATGTTCATTTATCCATTTCATTAGTCATTTATATTTATTTATCATTGTTTTCTGTATGTAAAACTATGGTTATTGTCTATAAAATGTATTTTTTGTTGATATTTTTGAGTGTCTGGAACGGATTAATTGGATTTACATTATTTCTTATGGGAAATCTTACTTCAGTTTTCCTACAATTCAGTTTTCATCAGACTTTCTGGAATGAATTAATCACGAAGACTGAGGTTCCACTGTATCTTTTTTTGGACATCTAAAAATCACTTAACATTCATAAACTATAAATGAGTCATATTATTGTCTTTTATTAGGAGGAAGTTAATTTTTTTTTTCTCTGTAAAGTCTTTTAGAATTTTGTCGAAGTTTAAACTCCTGCTAATTTCAGATTCAGGGACATAATCGCCAAATTGTTCAAACATTCTTGCTGAATTGATGATCTCAAGTAAGTTTTGATCAGTTTCAGCTTGGAAAAACTCCTTTATCCAGATGCCTTTTTTTTTTTTTTTTTTTTTTTTTTTTTTTAATTTGTGTTGTGTGTACTTAAGTCAAGAGTAGATTACACTCTAGCACAGAGCCCCCTTAGGTGCGGGGGTCCAATTGGCTTAAGGCCAGCCCTGCCATAGGGAAGTTAGTGGCCCCATTGTCACTACATACTCAAGACTGGAGGATTTCAAACTCCTCTTTGTCTAGGCTAATGCCACTCGCATTTTTATGCATTTCGTTAGAGCTGTAAATAATATATGTTTTATGGACACTTTCAGGGGTCAGGTTTGGAGTGCAGTAAAGGTTATTCCAGGGCCATTGTATGTCTTTTTTTTTTTTTTAATTGTTATATAATGAAGGTATTAGGCTTGTAATGTATAAGTTTCATATTTTCTTGCAGTGGCTAAAGCTAGATGAACTGCTGGAGCAGGAGCGTTTGGTTCGGCAGGCCATGACCAATCGTGCTGGTGTCTTGGGCCTTATGCTTCATTCTACATATGACCATGCACTGGCAGAAAAACTCCAGCAATCTCAGCAGTACCACCAGAATGACCATCAGTATCATGTGGACCACAAATATCAACATTCTAATAGCAACACTCTCCACCAAAAGAACTCTAGTACCACCAGCCAGCAGAAAGCTTCACAGCTGCGTCAGCATTCGTCACAACGGTACAGCCATGATCACCGCTACCAGAGTGAAATGCTGTATCACCAAAGTGACCATCAGTACCACAATAGTAATCGTAAACACCACCACAGTGATCATCAGTACCATAATAGTGAGCGTAAACACCACCACAGTGACCACCAGTATCATAATGAGCGGAATCATCACAGTGATCATCAGTATCACTCCAACCGTGATCGAAAGTACCAAATGGAACATAAGTACCACAGTGATCATCAGTACTATGCAAGTAAAAAGCACAAATAATCTTTAATATTTCTTTGCTACCACTGTGTCTGTACATCTTGTTAATGTACTAAATTTCATAAAGTAACTCTTGATATTAAAGATGTTTTTATTTATTTATATAGTTTTAAGTTAAAAGTTGCTCTAGAATATCTTTGGGGACTCGGTCGAGTTCAGGTAGTTCTTCCAACATATCTGTAAAGAGAAGCGATAGCAAAGTATTAGTGAATAATATTTAAACATGCTGTATTTTGTATATGTGGTTTATGCAGCATCTAATTTTAAATGCTAAAATCTTCAGACTTATAGCTATTGTAAATCATTTTATAAAGTCTTGTATCAACTTTTATGTAAATAAAATATAATTTCTCATAAACTTTTGAAACTGTTTATTGACAAAAACTTTTGTTTGCTGTACTTCCAAATCTGCACAAAAGTTTTGCAGTCTCAACCAGAATATTGAAGTACACAGACTAGTGCATGATTTCTTGGTGTGACCTGAAAGTATGAATGCTATATTTTTATTCCATTGATGTTAAATAACTGAATATAAGATATTTTATATAAAGTAGAAAATGTCAGCTGGGTTAGGTTCCTAGAGGTTTGTTTAAAAAAAAAAAAAAGCAAATTTTGTTTCAGATTTGGACTTTGAGTTTGAGACCTTACAGTACAGTATCTCTCAAAATTTTCACTAGTCAATGCCAACATTCTTATAAAAGAACATCCAGAAAGAAAAGAGATCCATGAAATTAATTAAACTTTTTTTTTTAATAAGGCTGTTTCCCCACTGAGGCAGGGTGACCCAAAAAGAAAGAAAAAAAAAAAATTCATCATTCAACACTTTCACCATCATACATAATCACTTTCTTTGCAGAGTGCTCAGATACAACAGTTTAGACATCCCTCCAAACAGCCAATATCCTAAACCCCTCCTTTAAAGTGAAGGCATTGTACTTCCCATTTCCAGGACTCATGTCCAGCTAACTGGTTTCCCTGAATCCCTTCACAAAATATTACCCTACTCACACTCCAGCTTCTCAGGTCCCAAAAACCATTTGTATCCATTCACTCCTATCTAACATGCTCATGCACACTTGCTAGAAGTCCAAGCCCCTCGTCCACAAAACCTCCTTTACCCCCTCCATCCAACCTTTTCGGTGATTAACCCTACCCCGCCTTCCTTCCCCAACAGATTTATACGCTCTCCAAGTCATGCTACTTTGTTCCTTTCTCTAAATGACCAAACCACCTCAACGGCCCCTCTTCAGTCCTCTGACTAATACTTTTAGTAATTCCGCACCTCCTCCTAATTTCCACGTTACTAATTCTCTGCATAATATTTACGCCACACGTTGCCCTTAGACACAACATCTCCACTGCCTCCAGCCGCTTCCTTGCAGCAGCATTTACAACGCATGCTTCACACCCATATAAGAGTGTTGGTACCACTATACTCTCATACATTCCCTTCTTTGCCTCCATCGAAAACGTTCTTTTTCTCCACAGATACCTCAACGCACCACTTGCCTCTTTTCCTTCATCAATTCTATGGTTTACCTCATCCTTCATAAACCCATCTGCTGACAAGTCGACTCACAAATATCTGAGCACATTCACTTTCTTCCATACTCCCTCCCTCCAATCTGATATCTAATTTTTCTTTTATCTAAATCATTTTATACCTTCATCACCTTACTCTTATCTATATTCACTTTCAACTTTCTACCTTTACACACCCTCTTAAACTCGTCCACTAACCTTTGCAATTTTTTTTTAGACCCCCCCCCCCCCAAAAAAAAAAAAAAAAAAAAAAGCACAGTATCATCAGTAAAAAGTAACTGTGTCAACTCCCGTTATGTATTTGAGTCCCCATAATTTAATTCCACCCCTCTTCCCAACACCTATTCCATTTACTTCTTTTACAACCCCATCTATAAATATGTTAAACAACCATGGTGACATTACACATCCCTAAGACCTACTTTTACTGGGAAGTAATTTCCCTCTCTCCTTTACACCCTGACCTGAGCCTCACTATCCTCATAAAAACTCTTTACAGCCTTTAGTAACTTGCTACCTATTCCATACACTTGCAACATCTGCCACATTGCTCCTATATCCACTCTATCATATGCCTTTTCTAAATCCATAAATGCAATGAAAACTTCCCTACCTTTATCTAAATACTGTTCACATATATGCTTCAATGTAAACACCTGATCTGCACATCCCCTACCCATTCTAAAGCCTCTTTGCTCATCTGCAATCCTGTTCTCTGTCTTACCTCTAATTCTTTCACTATTAACCCTACCATACACTTTACCTGGTATACTCAGTAAACTTTTTCTCTTATAATTTTTACAATCTCTCTTGTCCCCCTTCCCTTTATATAAAAGAATTATACACGCTCTCTGCCAATCCCTTGGTACCTTCCCCTCTTTCATACATTTGTTAAACAAAAATACCAACTACAACACTATATCTCTCCCTGCTTTCAACATTTCTATCATGATCCCATCAATTCCAGCTGCTCTATGCCCTTTCATTCTAAGTAATGCCTCACGCACCTCCCCCACACGCATCCTTCGCTTCTTCACCCCTCAAAGATGTTATACCTCCCTGACCAGTGTATGAAATTACTGCCTTCCTTTCTTCATAGACATTTAAAAGTTCCTCAAAATATATTCCTGCCATCTACCCAATATCTGCAGCTCCCCATCTACTAACTCCCCTACTTTGTTTTTAATTGACAAATCTAATTGTTTACTAGGCTTTCTTAACTTGTTTATTTCACTCCAAAAATTTTTCTTATTCTCAGCAAAATTTCTTGACAGTGCCTTCTGCATTCTCTCACCACACTCTTCACCTTTCTTGTACTCTCCATATACTCTGCCTTTCTTATATCACTTCTGCTTTGTAAAAACCTCTCGTAAGCTACCTTCTTCTCTTTTACTGAACCCTTTACCTCATCATTCTACCAATCACTCCTCTTTCTTCCTATAGCCACAAACTTCTGCCCCACATTCTAATACTGCATTTTTAAAGCTATTCCATCCCTCTTCAACCCTTCCCCACTATCCATACTTGCACTAGCCCACCGTTCTGCCAGTAGTTGCCTATATCTCCCCCTAACTTCCTCCTCCCTTACTTTATAAACTTTCACCTTACTTACCATTGCCATTTTCGTTTTGTCCTATCTACCTCTTACTCTAACTGTAGCTACCACTAGATAATGATCCAATATATCCATTGCCCCTCTATAAACATGTACATCCTGAAGCCTACCCTTCAACTTTTTATCCACCACTACATAATCTAACATTACATGCTATATCATATCTTGTTTACCTGTTTATCCTCTTTTTCATAAAATATGTATTACTTATTACTGATTATCTTTTTACACACAGTTCAGTTAGTCTCCCCATTTTCATTTACCCCTGGCACCCCAGGTTTACCTACTACTCTGTCTACAACGTTTTTACCCTGCTTTAGCACCGAGATTCCCAACCACATGTATTCTCTCACTTGGTTCAAAGCTTCCCATGAACTCAACATTTCCCAAAATCTCTCTCTACACTTCTCTCTTCTCCAGGTGCATAAACACTTACTATAACCCACTCTTCACATCCATCCCTTATTGTACTCCACATAATCCTTGAATTTATACATTTATATTCCTTCTTTTCCTGCCATAATTTATCCCTCAACATTATTGCTACTCCTTCCTTAGCTCTAACTCTATTAGAATCCCCTGACCTAATCCCATTTATTTCTCCCCACTGACACTTTCCTAATCCCTTCAGCTTTGTTTCACTTAGAGCCAGGACATCCAACTTCTTTTCATTCATAACATCCACAATCATCTTATCATTTGTACTACAACCACGCACATTGAAACATCCCACTTTGATGGTTTTCTTCTTTTTCTTTTTAGTAGGCTATATGGGGAAAAGGGGTTACTAGCCCATTGCTCCCGGCATTTTAATTGACTTTTACAACATGCATGGCTTATAGAGGAATGATTCTTATTCCACTTCCCCACGGATATGAAAGGAAAAGTCGTAAGAACGAGAACTGTTAAGATAAAATCAAAGAAAACTTGTCTGAATGTGTATACATAAACTTGTACATGCATGTGTAGTGTGACCTAAGTGTAAGTAGAAGTAGCAAGACGTACCTGAAATCTTGCATGTTTATGTGTCAGAAAAAAGACACCAGCAATCCTACCATCCTGTAAAACAAATACAGGCTTACGTTTTACACTCACTTGGCAGTACGGTAGTACCTCCCTGGGTGGTTGCTGTCTACCAACCTACTACCTATAAAAAAATTGACAAAAAATATTCCTATAGGCAAAATTGGACACTGCGAATAATTGAAGATATTGGTATGAGGCCAAGTGAAATCACTTGATAAGTGAAGCACAGGAATTGGGAAGTTAATGAATTTGGAATAAGTATGCTATGTTGTTCTGCTTGTTCTATCTAGGCTGGAATATTGCTGCACACTAACAGCACCTTTCAAGGCAGGTGAAACTGACCTAGAAAATGTACAGAGAACCTTCATGATACCCATAATGTGATAAACCACCTCAATTACTGGGAGTGCTTGAAGTTCCTAAACCTGTACTCCCTAGAATGCAGAAGGGAGAGATACATGATTATATACACCTGGAAAATCCTAGAGGGACTGGTACCAAACTTGCACACGAAAATCACTCCCTATGAAAGCAAAAGACTTGGCAGACGGTGCAACATCCCCCCAATGAAAAGCAGGGGTGCCACGAGCACGATATGAGACAACACAGTAAGTGCCAGGGGCCCAAGACTGTTCAACTGCCTCCCAGCATACATCAGGGGGATTACCAATAGACCCTTGGCTGTCTTCAAGCAGGCACTGGACAGGCATCTAAAGTCAGTACCTGACCAGCCGGGCTGTGGTGTGTATGTTGGATTACATGTGGCCAGCAGTAACAGCCTGGTTGATCTGGCCCTGATCCACCATGAGGCCTGGTCACAGACCAGGGAGCGAGGGCGTTGACCTCCTGAACTCTCTTCAGGTATACTCCAGGTATGAGGGTCCACGAGTAGTAGGCGTGATGTCCACATCTGAACTTTTATAAAAAATGAAATAAAATACTGAATTATGAAATTTGTGTTTTTTTTTTTTGTTTCTCTGTCAGTGTTTCTATGTGTCTGTCTTCGTCTTCTTTGCTGCAGTATTTCTGTGCATATAACCCCTTGTTTCTGTGGATGCAGTGATATTTGTACTGCCTGTTGGTGGACATTAGAGAGAAGTGTATGAAACAGCTGGAATGGCCACACACCTGAATGTGAAATGAATGACCTGGTTGTATAGTGTTGTTTATTGGTAACCGTGTAATGGTTGCCCCAATTGTACATGGTCTAAGTATGGCCACCAATAACTGACAATGTACTTACCTAAGATATGTCTGCCTTAGATCTTCATGAGTAATAGTTTTGTATATGGCTAAAATGTGTTTAAAATTATTTTTGTCATGGTTTAAGGCATGTAGTGAATGATAAAATTTTGTAAATTGTTTAGTCATGTGCATGATACTGCCAGTAGCACCAAGAAAAGTTTTGTCGACTATTACAGGTAAACATGTCCTTGCCATTTATTCTTAAGTTCAAACCCTTGGGGATTATATTCAGTTGTATTTTTTATTTACTTAGGCTCACTAAAAATTAATAACATTTGGTCTTACTACAGTATTATTAGTTTTTAAGTTCAGAGTCTA